ACATCTGGAATAGTGTGCCCAGTTTTGGGTCCCCCCCTACAGAAAGAAAGTAAACAAATTGAAGAGTCCAGTGAAGGGCAAGAAAAAAGATGAGGGGGCTGGGGGACATTACTTATGAGGAGAGTCTGAGGGAACTGGGCTTATTTAGTCTGGAGACGAGAAGACTGAAGGGGGACTTTCTGAAGGGTGGTTCTAAAGAGGATGGAGCTAGACTGTTCTCACTGGTAGCAGATAACAGAACAAGGAGCAAGCTGTAGCAGGGGAAGTTTTGGTGAGATATTAGGAAGATCTTTCTCATTAGGAGGGTGGTAAAACACTGGAACAGGTTACCCAGAGAGGTGGTGGAAGCTCCAGCCTTGGAGGTTTTTAAGACCCAGCTAGACAAATCCTTGGATGGGATGATTTAGTTGGGGATGGTCCTGCGTTAAGCAGGGGGTTGGACTAGATGACCTCCTGAGGGAGGTCCCTTCCAACTCTAATTTTCTATGATTCTACGCACGTTACAACATAAGGTACCCAAGATTTTGCCAATAAAGTTACTTAAGAGGTATAGGTACAGTTTTTGTGAATCGAACTTTTTAGATTTAGACACTGAAATTCCATCTAAGTCGCACTTTTCACCTGTTTTTTGTTTTTCATTTGACCCCAAGACTAACAGCACATTGGCAAGGAAAGAAATTGTGGAGTGTAGGTATGTTGTTTAATGCAGTAGATCCCAGATCATTTGTATCCCAGGCTGTTCACACTTAATTTGCAGAGTTGCTGAATTCAGATAAGCCACTAAGCTGCTTACTGCAAATTTTACTGTGAGGAGCACTGCTTTTACTGCAAAGAGCACTGGTGGAGCTCATCAGTGGACTCCACACAGTTGCCACAGAAATGGCACCCTTTGAAATAAAAGCCACAGCAAACAACTGGAGTATTTCTAATATAACTGTTTGCTGTAGCTGTGTATATCCCCAGGTACTACACAAATCGTTATCCTTCTAGGGGGAGAGGGGTAGGAACCTAACCCTACAAAATATCCTGGTTCTATTGACACAATTTTAAATAAGAGTTACATGAAATGGATTACTACACTGCTGTTTATTGTACATGTATATTGTAGCCTCAGTTGTCTGTCAAGTCCAGCATACAGACTTAAAATTTTGCCAAAACTTACATGGTTAAATCCACTCATGTAAAATCAGTAGGATTACTTACATAAGTAAAGTACATTCCAACCTTATTTGGAAGGTCAGGGATCCATTTTTGTTTCTGTGATTGGCTGATTTAAAGCACTTTAAAAAGCTATTATTGTGAACTTGGAAATGCACCACTTACAATGTTACAGAAAATAGCATGCTATCCACAACTTTGAAACTTGTGCCTCTAGACAGCACATTTTCCAACTTCAGGAAGACTGAATGTTGAAACCAAAACCACTTGCCAAACAAGCTATGTTGTTCCATTTTACTTCGTGCCTGGCTATAGGAGAGTGACAATCTCTGGCCAGCATGTGAGACTGATCATCCAGCTATAGTGTGCAGCAGCAGTGAGGCTGCTTTAAATCTGGAGTGCTCAACCCCTGACCTGCAGGCTAGATCCTGCCAGTGGCCCCAGCACACTGGATTGGGCACCTGATCTCAGTGCACAGGGCCAGACCACAGGGACCAAACCCAGTGTGGGGGCGCAGGAAAGGGAGGTGCTAAGCCTTTGGGACCCAACCCCAGCATGCTGGGATTGGAAAAGGGTGGTCCTGGGATCCTGGGGACCAATCGTGGCAGGAAGGGAAAGGGCCAGGTCCCCAGGGACCAATCTTGGCATTTGGGGGCAGGAGGGAGTGGCCCATGGACTGGCCCCACCCCACTCATTTGACCCACAAGGTGGAACAGCTGAGCATCACTGCTTTAAATCAAACCATGGATAAAAATACTCATCAGAATGTAGGGACTCTGAAAAAGGGAGTTTGTGCCTGAAAGCTTGCAAAGAATTTTTCAACTATTTAGCTGGTCTGATAAAAAAAAAAAAAAAAAATCGCAAATTCCCTGATAACCCCCCCCCCCAATCTATGATTAAAATGAAAGGCCCCACACTCCTCCCCACAGCCCCCCTGACCCTGCTCGTGCCCCTCACTCCCCCACCTTCCCACAGCCCAATGGCTTTGCTGGTGCCCCTCACAACCCCCCCAGCCCTGCTTATATCCCCCTCACTCCCGACCACAGCCCTGCTGGTGCCCTTCACCCCCCACCCACAGCCCCCTGCCCCCACAAGCAGTCGAGTCTATGGAATCCCCATAGTCCTGCAGCAACCCCAGCCCTGCCCAACTCCCTCCCTATGGAGCAGTGGCAATGCTTAGGGGATGCATGGGGGTGCATGTGCACCCCCTGACTGGCTGCGCTCCCCGCTGAAGCGATGGGTGGGGAGGGGCCAGGTGGGAGCTATGGGCATGGGGGTAAGTTTTGCCATGGGGGACCCCACTTGGTCAGGGAGACTGGCTGTAGGGGGACCCCCCCAGTTGCTGATGGGGCATGTGCCCCCCCTAAGGTGGCACCAGTCCCATGTAATGGGGGTCTCAATCCTCCCCCACTCACCTACCTGCAGGAGCTTGTCTCCAAGCTGGTTAGCAGCCATATGCATATACATGCACATGGTGCCCCCTACATGACCACCCTCCTCCCGCTCCCTCCCAGCCCCCTGCAGGCTGGAACTCTGCAGAGAACTCTTTGCAAAACCTGCGGATTTCTCCGCTAAAATGGGAAAATCTGTGTTTTTCTCCATTTTTTTCCATGGGAAATGGAAAACCTGGATCCCTGCTAATAAAAAATATATCTACCCAAAGAACCTTGTCTGTCCTCATCAGAATCTGGTACCACTAATTGTTCTTCTGGAACTCCTCCCCTAGCTGTTGCTATTTCAAGGTGAATCTGAGGAGTAAACAAAGGATAAATACTTACAGAGAAACAAATGGGGTATAAGAATTCACTAAATCAAAACAGCCTATTGGAAACCAATTTAATTAATGGAAGTTGCACATAAATGTTGTGGTAGGGTGTTCTTCTGTGGTATCAGTAGAATACTGAAAGACAATTAAACAAGAGATTGAAGTAGTAATTCAGGCTAAAGGAACAAATCAATAGACTAAACCACAACTCTTATTTTAAAACCATCACAGAAGAAACAATGGTAACATGATTCGAATGTTAGTCATGCTTCTTGTGCTCTATTAAACTTATTTTAAAAAAGGATACACATTATCCATCTGCAAACTTCAGAATCAAATCCACAAGCCAAAACTCGTAATTTTACTGGATCTACTGCTAGTAGGGATCCTTACATTCTTAGGAACTATGCAGAGGACCAAAAAAGGTAATCTAATTTCCGAGAAGTACTGAAATTTGAAACAAAATGCATGGGAGTGACTAAAACGCATTCAAATGAGTACATGTTTACCTCAGATAAAGACGATATTGAAGATCAGTAGTTGTGGAATAAAAATACATCCTTGTCATTTTAAAATTCTTGTAAAATGAAACATAAATATGATGTCACTGATACTATATAAGAAAAATAGTACTTTACATGGTATTTTACAAGCACTATTTTATATTTATTAACAGAGAATATTTCAGCTGGAAAAGTTCTGTCGATAAGTAACAGAAAGGGTGAAAAATATAACTGGACCAACAGAAGTATTAGCTGATAATAAGGAAGACCTTAACTTACCCTTGTAAGAAAGCCTTTGTACCAGTGTTTGAACCTTTTTCATTTTAGTTTAAAAATTAAGACTATGAATTAGGCAACCATTTTAGAGTAACTGTATTAAGTACATGATATTAATAGGTTCCACAAGAAAACAAGGTCTATGATGCATCATATACAAAATTTACAGGGTAATAGTTTTTTACTTTCAGTCTTGGTGCAAGACACAGTACAACACTTATAACCAGTTGTATTTTACTGTATATCCTATTTTCAAACACCAATTTCTTTTCACAGTACTGGCAGTGATATACCACTTTATTACATCTTCAACTATATGTTGATATGTAAGTGTCAACCATGTTACTTTTACTAGCAAATAAAATACACCTTTCCAAATAAACTATCATCACCACCACCACGTATCTCAAAACAAACTTCTTCAAATTTGCGTGCTTTTGTTGTGAATTTTGTTGCTTTTAAAAAAGAAAAACCATGGATAAAACACTGACTAGATCCAAGTATAATATAGCAAGGTGACTTTCAATCGCTCTCATGTGTTATTAATGAATTTTAATCCCAACTAGCAAAATACCTCTGAAACAGGTTTTAAATCAAAGACTTGAAACTGCAGCTCTAAGAGTTTGCTCAATGTCCCTTAGTGACCTGAAGCAGAATTTAAGTTAGTGTATTTTACACTTTCCTTTTAGAATATCTTAAAAGTGCAGCTACACCCTGTTTTTCCAGTCTGAATACTCAAACCCCAGAAATAGCTAAAATTCATATGGGGGTCCAATAATCAATACTTCAGCTTAAACTGATTTTTACAAAGCATGGTGGACTTTGAGAATCCTTTCATAATAATCAGAATTGACCTATATTCTATACATCATTTTTAGGGACTTTTCTATTAGAGAAATAAAAAGGGTTGAATTAAGAATTACCATTCAAAACAGCCAGACGTGTAGTTAAAGCCAATAAATAAGACCTTAACTTGCACTGATACTGTCTTAGCATTAAAAAAACTATGAATACAGAAAAAAGAAGCATCTTTTCTTCAGAGCAAAAATCCACAGAAAATATTTCAATAGTTAGGTGCACTCTTCAATACAGTCATTCTTTGCATTTAATGAGTAGTGATGATGAATCAATCCCCAGCAAGACTCAAGTATTCTCTCAACAACCTTCAAACATCTATTTGAAAAGACAAAAACTTCCACCAAACACTTCGTGATGCTGGCTCACATTGAATGGAAATCCCAAGGACAGGTCAGCATTCTGCTGAAAATCTCTGTGAAGAGTGTTCCAAATTTCAGCAAATTTTCTGCAAGTGCATCTGGAATGAACTACTTCAGCCCACTTATAGGCATATTCCAGTAACACCTGGCTCTATGATGCATATCAAATCTATTAACACATCAAATTGCTGATCTGATAGCAATTTCATTTTCCCAGCATAGATGAGTCATAAGAAACTTGCTCTGGAGGTATGTGTTTAGGTTGTGAAAGACATATTAACAAAGTCCAAATTTGAAGTTCTAATGCTTTATGTCTGGACAATCTCCGCTGGCACAAGATTCCCTGTTGTATCCAACTGCATACACTTACACGAACATGCAGAAACTGGGCACTCGGTGTGGTCCCTGGGTGAAAAAGAAAATTGGGAATTATATGACTGTGAATGGGTTTGTTGTTTCACTGTTGTATTTCCTAAAATGAAGTGTTCATCACAGATTTACAGCACAGATCAACAGCAAACGTACTGTGCAAGTAGTAATAAAGAATGTGTAAAATGGCAACTCAAGCAGATACATAATAACAATTTTAATTTATGCAGGGGAATTCAGGATGGTATGACAAACTGGGCTCAAATAGCCCCATAATAAGTACTAATAGCAGAGGGGTAAGATGACATCTGGGAGATCTGACCCTATAATGATACATCATATGGAGGGAAATTTGGTCATTGTGTCTGGCATGGAAGACTTAATGGCAACACAGCAGATCTTGAAATGTAACAAAAATCAACTCAGAAGCTAATCCTACCCAACATGCTGTATCAGGATACAACTCAACTCCTGTCACAACACAACCTGAGAGTATATAGAAAGGCAAAAACTTAGCCTTGTATATCACCAGGTAAAAATAAAATAAGGCAGAAAAATCTCAAACCAACACTAAGGCAAAGAGTAATAAATGGCTTCTTGATCACCATAACTATCGTAGCCTTTGCTTCAATTTTAAAACTCTCCAATTTGGCAGACTGTTTCCTTAGGTTGAAAGTTTCCCCCTCCCCTAGAATACCCCTGAAAGTAGCTTTGTTCCTGATGGGTATTCTCAGTTTCTATGTCTGCTATCATGATAGTTCTCTCCAAATTTGTCCAAAAAGAACCCACAAATAGCACAATTTGTTCAAGACAGCCATAGAAAAAAGAAAGGCAGTTCAGTTTTATAGCAGTTTCTTAACATGTTCTGGCTTTCATGACAAAGGAGCTAGCAGACATTACTGGGTGTAGTGTTTGGGAATCAGACACTGATGATTACTCCAAATCTCTTTTGTGTTATCTTAAGAAGAACTGGATCTATTGACTAATACATACATTTTATGCAAAAGCCAGCATTAATACATTATTAAGTTAGATGCAGAATTAAGGGTAAAATCTCAAACTTGAGCTTTGCTCCCCTCTGCATGTGCCTTAAATTATATTTGATATAAAATATTTAAAAAGGAAATAAAACATCTTATATAAGAGTGCAGCCAAGGAGGCACATGCTACATGACATAACACACATCCATTAAAATAAGTTAAAATATTGTAATTTTGCTAGTTTACCTGAACCAGCTGAGCATGTGTCCAGCATGCCCACCATGCCTACAGTTGTGGCACCAAGTAAACCAGTTGTTGAACTGGGCTAATTTCTTGTCCTTGCTAAGGTCCACCTTTTCATCAGATTTGGAACCTCCTAGATATAGACAAGACATTTTCATTCATTACATTTTATTCTTCCACACTAGTACTTTACATGCTCTGTAAGCATGCATAAGCCAAAACAAACATGATTTAGAAAGATAAATCAAATTATAAACTTGTATAAATGATAAACTTGTATAGAAAAAAAGACAGCATCATGAGAAAATAAATGAAAAGTATTTAATCCACTATTCTGTGCCTAAAGCTTTAGCATCTCTCCCCTACATGGTATTTTTTAATTAAGCCTATAACATTTTGGTGTTACTAGTTGTAAATTTTACATTACTTTGAGACAGCCTGATAGCAGGATTTGTAAAATTTCCTTAAAGAACCTGTGAAAGCAAGCATGCAAGCAACACATTTTTATTCTATGAGCCACTTAAACAAATAGGGAATCAGCATAATGACTAAGTGGAAGGGTAAAACAGGCAACAGAAGTACAGTGGTTAAACTACTTGTACCCGCCTCCGTTCCACCAGGAGTTCGCGCGCCGCCTTCGCCCGGACCCGATATCTTGCACACCCGGACTTCGTTGGTACACCCCAGGATTTGCCCCGCCTGGTATAAAGGGAGACCCCAGAATTCGCCTGCC